GTCCTCGACCTGGAGACATCTATCCACTCACGGCGGTCCGGCTTCCATAAAAACACCTCTGCAGAACCACTTCTTCTCTCACTCCTGCCATAAACCACACATCACATCTCAGTTTTATAGTCGTCAGCCATGTCCTCAAACGTCGGCCTCTCCACTCCCCGCGGAAGCGGTACCTCGGGCTACGTCCAACGCAACTACGCGTTCATGAAGCCGCGCAACGCAGGCTACGGCGCGCCCTACCCGCCTGTTTCGGGCGCCAATGCCAACGATTCCAACCGCGGGTTTAAGCAGCGCCAGCCTGACAAGCAGATTCTGGAGCATGATCGGCGGCGCGCGGTCGAGGTGAAGGTTATGGAGGAGCGGGAGCGGCTTGAGGAGGAGAATGAGAGGATTGAGGAGGGCAAGGGCGAGGGCGAGGGGAAGGTGTTATCGGAGGAGGAGATTGAGGAGCGGTGTGAGGAATTGCGGGCGAGGTTGTTGAAGGAGATGGAGGAGGAGGAGACTCGGAAGGGTGATGCGGGAAATGGTCAGAGGGATGAGGGGAGGGAGCGCAGGGCGTGGAGACGTGGGCCTGGGGGGAGGGATAGGGAGCGGGACTTGCCGCCGAGAGAGAGGAGGCAGTTCAAGTCGTATCAGGTGCATGAGCTTGCTGAGGCGAAGATTGAGGAGAGTGAGAGGTTGAGGAAGGCGTTGGGGATTCGGGAGGATACGGAGACGGGGGAGATCTCGAGTGGGAGGAAGGATTTTGATGGTAGGAAGAGGGATAGGGAGCGGTATTAGGATGGGTGGTTTTCGTTCATATGGGTTACCAGGGCGTTTTAAGGTGTTGAGGTGATGCTGCATTTCTTTTTTGGTCGGCATGAGAGAAAGGGCATTATTAACGGTATGCATTGTATTTCATCAAGCATGACTCTTTCTATCTTTGCTTCTAGCTGTCTCAACGCCAGTCAAAAACTATATACATCTTAGGTGGTGAACTTTTCAATCACCCAGCCGTCCTTAATATCTTTCCGTTGGATGACCTTCTTGGCTGGTAAGGGCCAAGAGGTGCCGCCAGCTTCGCCAACAAGCGATGGAATGACCCAGCATGCTCGGCGCTGCGGAACTCCGTCCATCGGTTCTATTTTGCCAATTGGCTTGCCGTATTCGATGAGCGGCGTGCCGTGTGCGATAGCGGAGAGCTGCAGTCCGCTAGGCGCCGCAAGAGGAAACATTCTGACCCTCGGGACCTGATCGGACAGCACCGAAGGCGCTGATTGTTGGAGATGAGAGTAGACCAGGTACTGCGGCATTTCCTTTGGTGAAAGGTGGGCTAGAATAGACGACGGATGCACGTAAACGGCTTTCTCCTGGAGTTCTGTCGCCCGTCCTTCTCGGGACCTGAAGAGCGTCAGGTATGGGACATCGATGGCTCTCTTTGGTGTGCGGTCCATCTCGGGCGGAACCGGCGCCAGATCGGCGCGGATTGCAACGTTGTCGATGAACCCAGCGGTCACGATTTGCTTCAGCGCTTTGATCTGTTTATCCGTTGGCTCAGGCAGGCGGGGTTCGTACGCTCCGATCAGACCAGGGTTGTTTGCGCGTACAATATCGGTCAACTGTTGCCGAAGTTGCGTGGCCTCCTTGAATGCCTTTGCCCGCAGGAACATCTGATCGCAGAATGAGTCCCCATTCGAAGCATAAGCGTAGGCGCAGATTGCCGACAAATACTTCAAAGCGTCCGAAGTATCATCGTGCTTGCTGAAGAGACGGAGTGCTCTGGCGTAGTCCTTGTGGCGCTGTTCCCGAGCCGTGTCCTCCAAACGATCGGAGTTCTTATAAACTCCGTCACCCTTGTCCTCTTCCTTTGACGGAGCTGGATCGATTTGGTTTTCAGGGATGAACAAGTCTCCCACAGCCAGGGCGGACACAAGGGCAATCACATATGGCATGCAGCCGTGCTGGTGGCCGATATGAAGCATTTTGCCGAATCGCGGTGTTAGCGGATATGTGGACAAGCGATGCCCGATCTGAGTAATTTTACCGTCCGCGGAGAGTGCTCCAAGGTTCTTCAGCAACTTCTCAGCCTTGGCCAGCCCCTGCCGACTAGGAGGTGTAGGGAATGGGAAATTGATCACGTTATGAAGACCCATGCTTTTCATCTGGAGCACGACGCCTTCAATAGGTGTTCTTAAGATTTCAGGGTCGGTGTACTCCGCGAATTCACCTTCGTAAATCGCTGAGGAATAGAGTCGGTAGCAGTGACCTGGTCCGGTTCGACCTGCTCGACCAGCCCTCTGGTTTGCACTAGCCTTGCTGATCCAACCGATTTGGAACTTTTGCACACCGGTCTCTAGATCGTATTGCTTTTCTTTGGCTCGCCCGCAATCAAAGACATACTTGATGCCCGGAATCGTAAGACTGGTCTCGGCGACGTTGGTCGCCAGGACGATAAGACGAGAACCCTCCGGTGGCGGTTCGAAAACCTTCAGTTGCTCTTTTGTGGGCAGCTGAGAGTAGAGCGGCAAGACATGCACTCGAGTTGAGGAATCCATCGCCTCTTCCCCGAGATTGAACTCTTCATCTTCCTCGGGATTCTCATCCAAACCGGTAATTTCGAGGTCACTGTCATCATCCTCGTTGCCAGGATGAGACAAGTCTGCACCCCCTAGGTCCAGATCCTCCGCTTCGAGTGGTGCATCGTTTGCGGAGAGTTGTACTTTTGCCTGTGTAGCTTCTCCCCGTTGTGTGGGCTTGAAGGTCTGCTTCAACCGCTTAGCCAGATGTCTGATCTCGTTCTGTCCGGTGAGGAAAACGAGCATGCCTCCGGCAGGTAGCTTGCGGTGGCCCCTGCAGACCTTTCTGTAGGCTTCTTCAACATAGTCGCGATGTGTCCTTCGCGCGAAGTGTATGGTCACAGGATACTGACGACCCTCTGCTTGTACTAGCGGCGGCGGGCCTTGACGGAAAAGACTTGCATTCTGCGTGAAATCAGAGATTCGCAGAGTCGCAGACATGACTACGAGTTTGAGGGGTTTGATGGAGGGATCCTCTTCGCTCATAGCTTTCCGCAGGTCAATAATACGGCTAACCATTCCGATCAGGATATCCGTGTTGACGCTCCGTTCGTGGGCCTCGTCGATTACGATAACAGAATATTTCTTCAAAGCGAAGTCTTCGGCAATCTCGCGAATAAGGATACCGTCCGTCATGAACTTAATGGCCGTTTTGCTGGAGACGTTGCTTTCAAACCGAATTTGGTAAGCAACACGGTCGGAGTACTGTCCCAGCTCATCAGCCACACGCTTGGCCATACTGACAGCAGCAACTCGGCGGGGTTGTGTCACTGCAATCATACCCGGGTTGGGACTGTCGGGGTGTCCATAACCGGCCTCGAACAAGAACTGAGGAAGTTGCGTGGTCTTTCCGCTACCGGTAGCACCCCAGATGACGATGGATGAATTGTTGTAGATGGCTTCCATTATCTTCTGTTCTTCACCGACCACAGGCAGTCCTAAGCGTGAATTTTGAACATCCTCCGAACGGTCAACTTGCACATTGAATGCCTTGCGGTTTGGATCGCCTGTGGTGACTTGCAGCTCTGGTGGAAGCGGCTCCTCTTCAGCGACGGTGTTCCTGACGGGCCGCTTGGATTCAGGAACGAACGGCTGATCCTCTGCTGTAACGGGCCCAGAGGGTTTGAAGCCGACAACCTCATTAATTTGTTGTCTTGCCCACTCTTTGAACGCGGACTGACGAGGCTTGATCCGGGTTTCTGCTGACGACTCGTCTTCCTCATCCTCCTCCTCCTCCTCGTCGTCTTCTTCGTCCTCTTCGTCATCCTCCTCATTATCACTGCCGCTATCCCCATCATCGCTCTCATCATTGTCGGAAGATGCTTCGTCCTCTCCATCCTGCACAGAGTCTTCTTCGGCATCGCTCTCCGAGTGCTCCGGCTCTTCATCGTTGCTACCAGCACTACCATTTCCATCATCTGAATCGAATCCTTCCCATGGCACCTCCGGCAAGGATACGATTACCGGTTTGACCTTGGGCGCTCTTTTCCGCTTCTTCAGAACTGGGAAACCGTCCGGACCGAGTTCAAGAGGACGTTTGAGACCGCCACCGACGGCTGGGGTGGGAATCGGTGGTGCAGGGGCAGTCTCGGCGAGCTTCCGCTTAGAACTTCCTTTCGAATCGACAAAGGAGTCGTCTGTCTCGTCGCCTGACAATTCCGAATCCAAAACCTGATTCTGCGACGCACTAACAGCCTTTGTAGCAGTCACGGGCACAATATTTTCGTCCTCTCTCTTCCGTTTTCCCAGTTCCTTCGAGCTCTGGAGCGCGGAGGTATCGACTTTAATCTTCTCAAGTTTTTTAAGTAGCTCGACGTTCTCTTCTTTCTTGAGTTTGTTTTCCTGCTCAGACGGTCAATTAAATCTGCCCAGACATCCGTGGATCCACAAGGAACTTATAATCCACATACAATGTATTTATCCAAGCGCTTTTGCTTCTTCGCGGAGATCTTCGTGTGTTGCGCCCTCAGCTCTTCTCGGAGTTTCTGCTTCCTCGCTTCCCTTTCACTCTTGGAGATGGGCAGTATCTCGGCAGCATTTGTGTCGACCGCAGCATCGTTTGAATTGTTTTGTCGATGTTTCTGCTTTCGTTGACGGGGGACAAATTTGGGCATTGTGAATATCGATGAGATTCCCTTGCCTCAGCCCGGAGACAAAGGGAAGAAATTTTAGAATAACAACGGTAGGGAATAGCTGATTTTGTGAGAGCTACTCCTCTGCTTTTGAAGGAAACGTGAAAAGAAAATTGATTCTGCCGGACAGTGGGGATATAAATCTCACCGCCCACAAGGCGGCATCACCAACCATCTGCCAACTGATCACCAGCTTCATTTGTTTATATCGGTATTTCTGGGGTAGAGTTGAAACCAAAGGTTCTCTTAATCATCCGAAGAGGCATTTCTTTCATTTCAGCATCCCGAAACTAAATACTCAGTACTATTCATCATGTCCAACCTCCCTGATCTCGATAACCTCCAGGTGCCACTGGACCTTCCTTTTCCTGCTGCCACAAAACAGGTCGCTGGAGTGGTAAATGGCATAAAAACAGACGTGACGTGCATCCAATTTAGCGACAAAATCCTGGTCACCGTATCTCAAAACGGCCGACTTGGGCATTGGGTCCGTAGCTCAGCGTTTCCTCCTACACGTCTCTCAAGCTAACCCATGGCTCAGCTGCATGTACCGCTGGAGAATAAAAACCCTGGGGAACAGGGTTTCCATACATTTTCTGAACCAGCTGATGATGATCTTCTTCCAATGAGTCGCTTGATGGCCACCTCGCTGCTTGGGGGTCGAGCTCCTGGACATGAAACAGTTGGTCAGCTCTACGCACGCCAGATTGCAAGTGCTATTGCAACAAAAACACCTGACGAGAAGCGATTGCTTGTCGTCGGTCTTGGACTCGAAAGTGCAGAGGCGGACCGTGAGGTCTTTTTCGCCATCATCGATCTTGTACTTCAATGCATCTGAGCTTCGAGCCAATGTTCTCAATGAAACTCAAATGAGAACAAGTGGCAGAAGAAGGCATGCAACAAAAGCGGGCCACTTACACAGATTTATAGAGACTTCTCTCTCCTTTGCTAGTGTTCTGATCCGCTCGATCGTCAAATTGGGAATTCTGAGCGCAAAGATGAGTTGAGTGAGGCGCTCTGTCTCGTCTTCGGCTAGGCCTCTGAAGATCAACCTTCCGAGGAATTCAATCCCCCCACTGAACAGAGCGCGGACCAGGTCTCCCTCATCAAATCCGGGGATTTTCCATTGATTGTACACAACAACAGAAAGCTCGTGAACTCTGAGGGGCTCGCTCATCCTTAGAGTGGTGATGAACTCTGCAAAAGCCCATCGACGTTGAACTGCCAGCAGGGGCTCGGATGCTCCGATCAAAAAAACGATGTTCTTGAAAGATCTTCTCCACACAATTTCTTTGTTACGACAGGGGTATTCCAACCATTGCTGGAAGACTCGGTTACGGCAGCAAGGCAACGGCGTTGGCTGACGTCTGAGGAAATCAGCTGACTTCGACCCGTAATTTCTGAAAAAGAGCAGTCGATCGCCCAGGGAATGATACAGAGCGATAGATGCTTCATGGTAAAACAAATGCGAGGTCCTAAGGATGGCCAAATCCCCGATTTGGTGGTTATATGGTCCACCTATCTCGACATAACCGTTGTGATGACAGAATATGAATTCATATATTCTGTAGCGGACCTGAATCGGCAGACGAAGAAGGTGACATCGCAGGTGCCGGTTGCCCATGATCAGACTGCCTCTCACCATCTTGCAACCCTCATTGACAGCTACATTCTCGACGGTTTCCAGTTCAGCTGGCTTGACAAGATTGGACGTCCTCAGGTACTCATCATATTCTTGTCTGAAGATTTGCACCAACAGTCTGAAGAATGAGACATACGTGTCAGCAGTCAGAAGGATATCATATCAAGGAGACTTACACCTCTGGTTTCTGAGCCCGTGAGAGAAGAACCTGTATTTTGCTTTTGTTTTCGCTCTCAGGGAGTACTTGCTCTTGCTGGATTTGTGCGTCTGGATACATCTTCCCAGCTCCTTTTGCTTCAGCGTCTTCCTGAGTAAATGGAACCAGAGAGCTATGTTCGCGTTTTGGAGATGAGGACTGAGACAGTTGTGAATCCTTTGAGAAAGGAGTGAGGATATATGAGTTTGTTGTTGCGCCAAGAGCTCTGGTGTCCTGGGACACCGCAAGCTCCGCTACTTTCAGACTGATGATCAATACAAAAGAATCTGAATTCACTCATCTCGTATGAGCATGTTCATGTTGAGGTTTATGCCGCATGAACCTTTGTGCTGAACGAAGATTTTAAAATATGGTCTCTCATTGTAAACCCTTGAGAACGTGTACTAGATAATCTACCAGGGTCTCAGCCAACCTGAGTCTTTATAGACTGTACATTACAGACCTCCTTTTCAGCAGACTTGATTTATGAACGCCATAGTTAAAGGCACTCTCTGGACGTTCTCTTGATCTTCAGCACCGAAAATAGTCACGTGTCTCCCTGAGGTTCAAGGAGCAGATAACTCTGGCCACCAGTTGTAACTTTCCATGATTTCTACATTTCTTTGGTCGTCGCTGATTGTTGTCTATTTTGGCAATATAATACATATTCACCTGGTGTCATCGCGACAGTGCCAACTGGACACGGACTGGTGGGACGCGTAGTGTCCAAATCCGTTTATGTGACGTCTTACCATAAACAATCACAGGCTTCGCAGCACGGTCTCACGGGAGTCGAAAACAAGAGCTACCTTGCAATCTCATTTGAAACCCCTCGGGTTTCTAGCAAGGATATTTTGCACTCAAGAGTGTCTAGTGTCTACTAAATGGCTGCTGTCGATTGTGTCTCATTTCTGCATCTTTAAATTATCTCGCTCATTGCAGTCTGACTCTGGGTCAACTCGAGATGGAGCCCGAAGATTTGACTGACCCAGATCTTAAAGCAGCCATCGCAGCCTCATTGAGGGACCTTCACGATAATGGTGCTGATCCAACAGATGAACCTCAGCAAATTGTCGTCGATCTTACTGCGGAATCGGATGATGATGAAGTCATTCCCGTTTTTCCAAAGTCCAAATCAGTTATCGGGTCTGATACAGATGCTGAGGAGGATCGAGATGATGTTGAAGACGAAGACGAAGACGATGAAGATGAAGATCTGAAGAGAGCCATTGCTCTGTCCCTGCAAGACTCTGAGGACACTGAAAAGAACTCACCTTATCCATCACACGGTAATAAAGAACATGGCCCACCCCCAGAGACAGAAAGTTCTGCAACAGACCACGCGCCTTCGCAACCATCTGGGCTTCTAGGCCTAAATCGAAAGCAGATGGAGGAAGAACGCCTCGCCCGCATTGCGAAGAGAAAAGCTGATGATGTTGAGGCCATTGATCATCGTCAGGCCAAATATTCAAAGAATGTCTCGAATCAGCCTGCACGTCAAAGCAGCAGTGGTTCGGTATCGACAGAATACGCATCAAAGATTGGCGTCCCTCAAGCAAGATATGAGTCTGCGAAGTTGAAGCCAGACTTACCCAATCCTTCTCGGACACCAGCTGTACAGTTCCCAAAGGGAGTTGTCAAAAAGACTTACGCGCAGTACTGCCCACGGACAGGCGACGATATCACTATTGAGGAGGTCTTCCAGAGCAGTGATCTAGAGCTGGCCGTTTTCAGCTCATTTCTGTGGGACATGGAATGGCTTTTTTCAAAGATTGATACGAAACGCACTCGTTTTCTCCTGGTAATGCAGGCTAAAGATGAGTTGACGGTGATTGACACCTTATCTGTTTCTACTTGGAATGTCAATAACTGATAAAGTCGGATATCAGAAACGTCAATATGAGGCAGAAACGGCATCGATGAGCAACCTGAGACTGTGCTTTCCACCCATGGAAGGGCAGGTCAACTGCATGCACTCGAAACTGATGCTACTCTTTCACCCGGGATACCTACGAATTGTAGCCCCGACTGCGAATTTGACACCATATGACTGGGGCGAGATGGGAGGTGTGATGGAAAACGTAGGGATGAGCAGCACCATCTACAGAACCATTGCTGACTCTAGCTTAGAGTGCTTTTCTAATCGATCTTCCCCGAAAGGCAACCACAACTGCTGTGGGCTCCAAGACCGCCTTTCAGGAAGACCTGGCTTACTTCCTGAGAGCAAGTACTTTGCACGAGAATATCATTTCCAGGCTCAACGAGTACGACTTCAGCCAGACGTCTCACATTATGCTCGTTCACACCATGTAGGAGACCTCCGCGCTATTCTAGAACGTTACTGATGCTGTGCAGCGGAGGGTCACACACTGGAAATGCATGGAGAAGAACGGGACATTGCGGCTTGGGCCGTGCAGTCAATGCATTAGGATTGCGGGCTTCCAAGCCGATCAATATCGATTTTGTTGTATGTGCAGTCCCAAGATCCAGACTTCCTCGACTAACCTCGCACAGACATCCTCCGTAGGATCCCTCACCGACGAATTCCTAAGATCAATATACCTCGCTTCCCAAGGTAAGCACCCGCTCCGTGTCACCCAGACGTGAGACTGAGATTCCCCCAGGCGACGACGGTATAACCGAGTTCACCCTCCGAACCTCCAAGACCTTCCCGGCCCGCAACCCCAACGACACAGACCAGCTCATTCACAAAAACACCGCTGAAGAATGGAAAGACCGCTTCCGGGTCTACTTCCCCTCGCAGACGACCATCGAGCAATCGCGAGGTGGCCCAGATTGCGCCGGCACAATCTGTTTCCAGTCGAAATGGTACGAGAAGCCGAAATTCCCGCGCCATGTGCTGCGCGACTGCAAGAGTCGGCGGGCGGGACTTTTGATGCATAACAAGGTACGCTCCCCCTCTTAGAGGTAATATCCTATCTCATAATGTCTTGCTCTCCAGATACTATTCATGAGACCGGATGAACCCCTACGATTACCAGATAACTCCCAGTGTCGAGGATGGGCATACGTGGGGAGTGCAAACCTCTCAGAAAGTGCGTGGTGAGTGCATACCTGATCCCATTAGACGCAAAAGAGAAAACAGAAAGCATTCTAATACCAGGACGCAAAGGGGCCGTCTCGTCCAAGACCAAACAACCAAGCAGCCCAAGCTTAACTGCCGGAACTGGGAATGCGGCGTCCTTGTCCCTGTACTGGACAGAGCGGATTCATCGGATAAAGTCTCGAACAACAACAGTGGTAAAGGAGCAAACGAATCGGCGGATATGCTGGACGTTTTCAGAGGTACTGTCCCCGTGCCGATGACGGTTCCTGGGCAACGATACGGGCCCGGTCTTAAGCCTTGGTTTTTTTGAGCAAGCAGGAATAGGCTTTGGAATCTAAGAGAATTGAAAATGATTTATGAAGAACGCTGTCTAATGCAATATTATTACTCTATGTATGCAGAAGGGATATCGCTAAATAATATCGTGATCCGACGGATATGCTTTTATGACCCATCATTGAGATTTGTTGATCTCATTCCTTGCTCCTGGTCCTCCCAATCAATACCATAATCCTCATCCTCATGCCTTTTCTGACTTCCTCTTAAAAACCCCCTTGACCTTGTCAATCACCAACCCCATTCCCCCAAACAAATAACCCGTACCAAACGACCAGCCCCTCACGCGCACCGTATAGATAAAGAAATAAACCAACAGCCAATTAATAATCACAAAGGCCAAGAAGATACCGAAGCAGCGCCACTTGTCGCCGTGGTGCACGTTCAGTGTGGCCATGTACTGTGCGCCGTTGCTGTAGGGGCAGTACTGGCAGTCGGTATCGGCGTCCGGCTTGAGCAGGTACCCGTTCTTCGCGACGTTTGTGATGAAGTTGCCTGCGTAGCGGGCGCAGGTCTGGCCGGGGGGCGGGTTGAAGTGGGTTGTTTCCGAGGGGCCACACTCGATCTGCACGGTGGGGAAGACGGACGAGATGACGCCGCGGAGCCACCAGGTGACGGGGTTGACGTAGTACATCCAGTATTTCCAGAAGACGGGGTAGTCGCGGTAGGGACGGACGATGCCGTTGAAGAGGTTGCACATGACGAAGAAGAAGGGGAGGACCTGTCATATGGGAGTTAGAGCGGGTGAGGATGGGAAGTAGTAGGGATGGCAGCACTTACGTTGGATATGACGGTGAAGGAGGGCGCAAAGGCGCAGATCCATTGGCCCCAGCTAGACATGAAGAGGAAGAAGAGCATCGACATGAGAAAGACGTAGCCCGCGGTGCTGGAGTCCGTGGGGAAGCCGACGGGGTAGTACCATAGCAGCCAGTAGATGACGCTTGAGACGATGGCAGCGGGGATCTCGCAGACGATGTTGGCGGTGCAGAAGGCGAACCAGCCGTAGATACGGCTGGGGTACTCGCGGGCCTCCCAGAGGGCGCGGTTGATGAAGAACTTGGGCACAACGCTGTTGAGGACAATGGGGGGGATCAAAATGATCACGAAGATGGAGAACATGCGGTCCTGCATGCTGGCGATCGAGTTTCCGAGCATCCAGAAAGTGAACCCGTTGAAGATACCGATGATGACGCTGACGAACAACTTTCCATAGTAGTACGACGGGTCGCGCCAGTACTGTTTGAAGAGACGTTCCGTGAGAAGTAGAGTCTGTGTCATCGTGGGCGCGGCGAATTCGTATGTGGACCCTGTTTCGGTCACGGGGATCTTGCTACGCTCTTCGCGGATCTGCTGAATCTCGTCCAGGACATGGCGGTTCTGCTCCGAGTTCCTCCACTCTTCGTTCCAGTCGATCTTCTTGCCGTCCTTTGTCGTCGTTGCCTTGGCGGCTGTCTCGAGGATAAATTCAGCCACGTTCTTCGATGGAGGGCAGACGATGCCACGATCTGCGAAATACTTGATTACATCGCGACCGCCTTGGCCGACTGGGCCGAAATAGAAGGTGTTACCACCAGGGTTCAGGGCAAGAATCATATCGAACTGCTGAATCAACATGGATGAGGGCTGGTGGATGGTACACAAGATGGCCTGTCCAGCCTGGGAGAGTTTCTTCAGGAAT